TGTGACAACTCCCCCGCCGCGCCCGGTCAGGCCGGGACGGCGCCCTTAGTTGGGAAGCCGGCCGCCCTTCTCACTTCTGACAGCGCGTCCCATGCGGCAGGACAAGTTGGCAAGCACACCGCCCCGCTCGGCCGGGACAACGTGCGGGGCCAGACTGGAACGCACAGTGTCCTCCTCGGTTGTGACAACGCGTCCGGCGCGCCGTCGACGCTCTCGGCGGAAGGGGACGGGGCCTTTCTCGGCCGGGACGGCGGGTCGCGTCCGGTGGGTCGGGCTGGCCGCCTCCTACGGGACGCCCGGGCGGCCGTCCAGGCGCCACGACCCTTCCGCCCCGACACCCCTCTTGAGCTGCTCACCCGGGCGACGCGGCCGAATGCAGCGCGGGGTGTGCGCCTGCCATCTCTGCCCCGTCATCCCGAACACGCGAGCCCGACCGCGCCGGTGCCGCCCAACCAGAAGTTCCATCCCGACCGCCTTCTTGTGGGCTTTCAACAGGCGGTGGAGGACCCGGAAAATGGGGTGAAGCGGCAGGTCGCGCTTCTGCGTGAGTTGGGGATGTGGCTTGCGAACCCGCTGCATAAGATCCGTGAGGAGTGGGTGCAGGCGCTCACCCTGCGCTTAGAACTCTATAATGAGCAGGAGCAGCTCAACGAGTGCGATCTCAGCGTGATTGTGGCTATGATCTCAATTCTGCTACGCAACACCACTCCACAGACGTGCCCGGCGCTTCCTACCATCACCCTTCTGCTAAAGTGTATGGCTGAAGGAGGCATGAGTGCTTGGATAGAGCGCGAGATCCTCTTTGAACCACTTTTTCATCTACTCGAAGACGAATCACTCCTGCGGCGAGAGCCGAAGACGCTCCTCAGAATCGTCGAAACATTTCTGTGCGCCACCGCCGCTGATACCAAGGAAAACGCGGGGGGGAGCCCACTGGAGGGCATCCAGCAAGGCTCCACGGCGAGCATCTCCTCCCGGTTGGTTGGGTTGGGGATTACGCCCGTCTTAAACACACTTCTGCAGCGCTTGCTCAACCTTGAGGCCGCGTCGGCGGACGAGGAAGCCGATAGTACATTCGTGCGGCATTCCATTATGAGCGCCGTTTGCGGGATTTACCGCAATTTAAGCGCGGGCTACGCGCATCATCTTCGGGAAGTGGGGACGGTGGAGCTGCTTTTGGCTGTGCTAGAGGCTATGGCAGCCTACACCGTCATCGTGGCGGCTGCTTCTCGAGCTTTAGTGAAGTTTGTCTTCGACGTGGACTCCCTGCGAGCGCTTCGGGACAACAACCGCGTGATATCAGCAGCGGCCACGGCGTTAGCGCACCAAATTAGCCTTCGCAAAACGAAGCAGTCGATCCGCACCGAGGATCGTGAGCAGGGCGAAGAAAGCGAGGCGTCGTACCTGCTTCTCCTGGTATCCCGTCTTTGCAGCGTCATCGGGCTCGTCGTGCAGGGCTCCCCATCGCATCGAGAGTACTTTGTGCAGCACCACACGAGTCTGTTGGAGGAGCTGGTAAATCAATTTGTGGCGAACACGCCACACCGGCCACCGCTCCCCGGGGCATCCTCGCCGATAAGCGATGGGGGTGAGCAGGGCGAGATGACGGTCGTGCAAGGCGCGGTGTGGTTGGTTGGGGTGGCAGCGACGAGCCCGCATTGCAACTTGGAGTTCGTCATGCGGGTTGCCGCCATGCTGGTGCGATATCTGACGGAGCTGGAGTTCACCCCCGCCACCCGGCTGAATGCCATCTACGTGCTCATGTGCATCAGCAACCTATCCTGCCACTTCCACCGGATGGAGGATGATAACGAAAGCAGCGACGAGCTTCTTGAGCTTTTCAACACCTTAGGCCCCATCCTGGCGGGGTTCCTTTTCGAAGGCGACGTCGAAGCCACCGTCGAGGCCACCCGGGTGCTGGGAAACGTCTCTTATACCAGCGCTGGCCGTGATTGGATGGAAGCGAACCGCTGCGATGAGGTGGTAGTGATTTTTGCCGGACATGAAGATCTGCGGATTGTGTACAACTGCTTTGGGATACTTCTCAACTTAACGGCGGGCACGCGCTGCCGCGTCGTCGAGGATCCTCAGCTGCTTAAAATGCTCTTGCAACACACGGATCGATACACGCGGCGGGATGACATTGACAAGGCAGCCGCCGAGGAAGGCAGCCGTCTAAGACAGACGCAGGGCGCCGGGGGGGGTCTTCACCGGATTCACAATCTTACGCCCCTGTCTCCACGAGATTTAAAAGATGCCGGTTCCTCCGCCACCTCCATCGACGCACCGGAGGCGTTGGCGAAAGATTACGCCGAGCAGACAGCAGACTTGGTGGAGAAATTGCTTATGAATGTTAAAGGTCTGGTGCTATGCGCCGCAGACGAAGAAGCTGAGGAGTCTGAGGAGGAGTCGTGAAAATATGGTTCCAAAGAAGCTTTGGTCAAGAAAAAAAGAAACAGTGGAAAAAGCAGTTGTAATTTATTCTAGGGCAGGTGGTGAATTATCACCATCTGACATAGTTCCTATATTAATATGTATACTATGAGGCGTAAAACTCGCTACATGAAGATGTGATGATGGTTCTGGAAAAGACACTCTGCTGGGTTGGGTGTAGGTAGAGCTATCCGTGCGCACTAGCCTCACCGTGGGGCTTTAGTGTTGGCTATGAGCCCCTTTCGATCATCAGCAGGCGCGTTTAGAGGCAGAAAATGGGGAATGAAATTTTCGACCGGCTTCGATACCTTTTTCATTATGAAAGGAGCCCATTATAGTTGTCGTGGTCTCTAGAGATTTCCCCGTCCACTTCATCTTCCTCCAATCCTTTTGATGTAATGATCCGTTAATTGCATATAAACTACTCAACACCAAGAGCACCTTGTGCGAATCTCAGGCACGCATGGTGTTTCTTCAATCATTCGATTATGAGGTTGTTGGAAGCAGCGGTGCGCCTCTGGATCAGCAGTAGCCGCGCTATTCTGAGTATCAGAGGAGTATTATTTTTTGTGATGGATATTTTTATTTCCTACTGTGTCCGATTCTCTGCGCGCGTGTAGTTTAATGGTAAAGCTATTGCTTTGAACAGAAAATGGACATACTTAGCCTTGCTGTGTACAGATAAAGAATGGATTCAAAGGATGCTGGAGATCTCTAGCAGCATCAAGGCATTGTGGAGACACCCTCCCCCCTTTCACTTGTTTGGGTAAATTGAGGGTCATGCTGTTGGCTCTTTTTGGTGTGTTCACTTTGAGATGTAGGCTTCACGTTAAACTGAAAGATATTCGCCCTGTGGAAAAGAGGAAGCATAAAAGACTCAGTATGTGCCTCACTTCACACGGGGACAACATTTCTTTTTTGGGGCTCATAAAATTTAATTTACTGCTGATATTTATTGCTATTTTACCTTGACCATGTGAAAGCTTTCACGATGCATTTTTTTCCCCCTTACCTACCCATTTTAACCGTTTCGTAAGCATTTAAAAGCACGAAGAGGGTTCGTATTGTGCTGGAAGCGTGGCTTTTCTCCTTTATTAGTAAATTATGACGATGTCCAGTGCTGGCAGCGCCAATCCCGATTCCTCCGCGGCCTTTACACAGCTGAAGGAAGCGTTTAGTTTTCTCGATCATGAGCGAGAGGACGTGCGGAAGATGGCTGTGCAGGGAATCGCCAGTCAGAGCAAAGAAGACAAAAATCTCTGGGCGTTCATGTCCTCGGCGGAGTACGGACCCGCTGCCATCGATGCCCTCCTGAAACATTTCCACCCCGGTAGCATTCGGCTGATTGGGAATATTCTCACCATTCTCATCAACTCCGCGGCGGATGGGGCCTGCGCGGAGATGTTGGTGACGCGGAAAATTGTACGAAAATCGATGCTTTTTCTCGACGAGATGGAGCACTCTACCCACCCCGAGCCCTTCAAGCGCAGCGTGCAGGAGATGGTGCTGATGTTGTTGAACAACCTCACCGCCAGCCACATCTCCGCCGTTGACGACCTCTTGCAAAAAGACGACGACGCGATGCGGGGGTTTTATCTGGGAAAGCTACACGGCTACTACGTCGCGATGTCGCCTGGGGTGTCCGGGGGTTCTCCGACGGAGACCCCCACCGACCAGGCCGCGCCGCCGCGGGAGACGCGGGATTGCCGTCGGTGGATTCTCAGCATCCTTCTCAACCTCACGCGGAGCGCCGACGGGCAGGAGCTTTTGTTGGAGGATGAGGACTGGCGAGGGGCGTTTCAGGAATGCCTGCGGGCCTCCGGGTTTCCTTCGCATCGTCGGATCGTCGCGGAGTGTTTTCGCAACTGCGCAGGGGCCCCACGGCCGTTGTATGGGTTGCTGCTGCAGGCGGATTGCGTTCGCGCGGCGGTGGAGCACCTGACCTCTGGCAAGGAGCGCGACCCGGCGGTGCAGATGAGCCACGCGGAGGTCCTCGCGGGGATGTTGGAATCCGTGGAAGGGGTGGCGCAGCTGGAGGGGGTGAACGCGAAGAAACTGCTAAGCGCCGCCGTAAGCACCTCTCGCGCGGCGGTCGAGGCGGGCGAGGAAAGCGCGGGATCCGTCCCTTCTCCGCCGCAGCCTCTTCCAGGCAAAGGGGGCTGCCTGGCGCCGAACGTGTGTGATTTTTTGGAGAAACACGTGCTGGTGTATTTGGATGACATTATTGATGCCTACTTGCCCCCTAATTGCGATGATGTGGACTAGGGGGAATGACCAAGGATGGGGATGGGCATGTGCTGAATAATCCAATAACTTCATTTCCGATTAAGGCTCCCTTTTTATTTACGGTGAGGGAATAATAATATAAAAAAATCAAGGATAAAGTCTATGCTGGTATCTATGGTGGATTTGCATGAGGTTTTCATTTTCCTCATGATGTTTCTTTTTTTTGCTTGTGTGTGTGGTGTGTGGGTGTATGTCCTTTATATACTTCTTTTTATCTCTCTTTCACGACGACGGGGGTTTTCTTTTTCCATTGTCCAGAAAAGAACAAGAACTGAATGGGATTGATATGAGTTCCATTTTTTCCGTTCTGCGCCGTAGCGAGCGGTTACTACCCGTTGATTCGGAGGAAATCCTGAATGCCGCGAGCCAATACACCATCCTCTGCGTGGACTCCCAGAAACTGCCGAAGCTCTACGAGCACGTGAACATGTACTGGCAAGAACATAAGCAGCGGTGTGGAGGGTCCTTCCGCGCGGTCCCCTCGACCCGGGTTCCTGTTCGATCGACGACCTTTCCCGACATCACCAGCGCCCACGCGGAGCGCAAAAAAGCGGAAAAGGACGCGATGGCGGTCGCTACCTTCGATCCCTCGCTCTGGACGACTTCCAAACCACCGCCTTCGGATCCATCCGCGGCGGATTTTTCACCCCCGGGCTCCTCTCTCCGCCATTCCTCCAGGGAAGAGGACGTGCTTCGATTCACGGCCGTTGCCGAGGCCGTATGGTTGCTTTCGCCGTACGAACGTTTGATGTGCCCGGGGTTGTTGATCAGCCCGCTGCATCACCTCCATCACCCTCTTGTGGAGGAGGAAACTCCTTTCTCCTCTTCTTTTTCTTCTTCGCTCGCGTTCACGGCAATCCAAGAGGTAACCAACCTCGCCGTGGCGAGCTGCCTTCCCGTGCAAGAGGCGTTGTTGTTTTTTTCCCTTAGTTTGGTTTACATCGAGTCGGTCTTGACGATTGATGCGAAGGCGGAGAAGGAAAAGGAGGAGGAGGGGGTGACGGTGGAGGAAAGGGGATCCCACGAGATGGAATCCTTCCCACCTTCGGAAACGAACCCGCCAACGCTGCTGGATCTTTCACGGTGGCTGAAAGCGATGGTGGCAGGGTTCGCCGCGCGGGTCCCCCCCTTTCCGAATCGGAAAGGGGGTTCCTTCCCCTCCTCTTTTTCTTCTTTTTCTCCTTCTTCGGTTTCTTCTTCTTCTTCTTCTTGTAATGTCGCCCTCGAGCTGCTGCAAATCGCCGCACGGGAGTGGTACGCGCGGCGAACGCATTCGGTAACGACGGAAAACCCTTTTGGCGCCCGCGCGGTTGCGCTCGCGACGCGGGATCTCTTTCATCTCGCCGCCTGGCAGCTCCCGATCGAGGAAACCCCCTCGCAGGACCCTCGTTTCGGGCCTCAGACGCATCAAAAAGGCCCTTCGATCCTTTTTGAACCCTACGAACCTCGGGATCGCCCACAAACGACGCACGGACTGCATCTTCCCCCTCTCCCGCAGGATCCTCTCGTGAGTTTTTTCCTCCCCACCTGGCGGGCGGTTCTGATGGCCTGTCTTTCCGATTTTATCAAACTCCTTCATCTTCGTGAGGTGGTGATGACGGAGGCCGGGAGGCGATGTGAGGGCCTCGTGCGAGAATTCCATCAATCAACGAACGAAAACGCAAACGCCCAAGGGGCAGGGGGTTCCCGTCTTCTTTCCACGTCCCCAACGAGCACCTCGTTCGTGATCTTCGGTCCTCTTAGGGGGGAACGGCGGTGGAACCCCGCGGCGGGGTGGTACGGCTTTACCGGAGAGCTCCTTCGTTGTGGGGGGTGGATTGGCGTCCCTCCCAACGGGAAAGGAGAAAAAGGCGAAGGAGGCGGAGGAGGAGGGGAGAAGGGGTGGCGGCCTCCCGCCGAACTCGCAGGGGGAATCGTCCCGTTTCGCGATCCCGCCCTCGCCTTGAACGCGACGACGAGTGGACGGGGGGACGCCCCAGGCACCCCCCCCCCTCCCGTGCTTCTCGCCACCGCCGAGGAGCTCGCGGATCTCCTGAACCGCCTCGGGGTGGCGCTCCCCCGCGGGGGAGGCGGTGGAAAGGGGCTTCCCCTGCCACGGCCGGTCGCGCGTTTCGCGATCCGCGCGATGCGATCGGACCTCCCGGAGGCCTACCTCGCCTGCGAGCGAGGGGGCATCCAGGAGCTTCGACTTCGCGCCGGCGCCGGCGGGCTCGCCCTGACGTTTATCCGCGCGAATGGCCGCGAGGCGGGGATCGGCACCCCGGCGAGGCTCCTCGCCGCCGGGGTGGCCCGTCGACGACCGCCGGGGGGAAACAAACGCGCGCGCGCAGGCGGCGAAGCCAACGAAGGGAACGAAGAAGGCGACGGAAGCGGAGGGGAGCGCCCCGCGTTGTTGTTGGCGCGCGTCTGGGAGGGCGGCTATGCGGAGGCGACGCTGCTGCTTCGTCGCGCCGGCGCGCGACCGCAGACGGCGTGTCGGATTCCGCTCCGCCCCGACGCCGATCGAGCGCCAACGGCGACGGAGCCGGAACGGGCTCACGGGGGGCGCCCCGGCCCATCGGTTCGCGCCCA